ACTACATTGCCTGTGTGACCCTAGACTAGTGCCAAATCCAAAGAATAGCTTAGGCACAATCTAAATCTTAAGATTTCCTAAATAACTCCCAAAAATTAGCATCTCCCTGTGCTTCTTCACTTTATCCCTCTTTTACAGATGGAGAATAGCACTTCTCACCCATACGGGGCTACTGTGAAGAATGACACATTAGAGATGGCAAAGCACCAAGATACTACAATGATGTGGACTGTATAAATACCTTGAATGCACAGATATTAGAACACAAAGATTGCTGATATTCCTTTTGTACTTTGTGACAACAGTGATTCTCACTTCATCAATGACAGACAGCAACATAACAATGTGGTTGGATGCCCAGGGTGGCTACCACGCACAGTTGCTGCTGCAGGGTGGTTGCCGCACACAGTTGCACAATTGTGACTGCATGGCTCTGACAGAAGCTGTTTTTTTCACCCCTGCTTCCATCAGGGCTGGTCCCTGTTGCCCTACCCTACTTACGTTACTGATATCAGAAGATGATAATGAAGGTAAGATGGCTGACTTGTCACTGAGACGTTTCTAGCTGCCAGTTATGGGTTGTACTGGGGTCACAGGTACTTTTGCTGTACTTTTGCTGCTGCCTACACATTGCCTCTGAATTAGTTGGCAAATGATGTTTTAAAATCTTAATGAAGCACTACATATTTCAGATAAGTGCCACTCCTGATGTCAGTATCTTTTTCACCGTTGTTTACAATGCTATCAAGGCATTTTAGAAAGGATGCAGTCTAACAAAAAGTCTATATAAAAGGAATAATGCTATATGAAAGAGAACAACAAATCACTGAAGAAACAAAAACAAAAGCAATTAAAACTTCAGCACTAGAACACATTAAACATGAAGGAAACACTGACAATAGGCATCTGTGTCCCCTTGGATACAAAAAACCCCCCAACGAAACCAAAAAACTCACCAATATTATCTCAGCCTAAGCATTTTTGCAGAAGCAGAACTGGAAATATCCTAGTTTATTTAAAAAAGAGCAGTAAGACTCATATAGAAACAACAAAGACCCTGAACCTGAAAGAAATAATTGACAGCAGTAGGAGCAACAGGGTCCCTGCATCATACAAATGTAATATTATTATCAGCAAACGTGAAGACAGACAAAATCAGCAGATAGGCCTAGGAGAGATGTCCTCATTCACTGAGTCCAGTCTTCCACTTTCATAGGAAACCATGGGAACTAATTTTGTTCATAACTTTATTAGGTTCCATTTTACAACTAGCTAAGTTTTGTTTTTTTTTTTGCTCCAAATGCTCCTCCTAATGAAAGGATATTCCAAAATTTCATTTCTCTGGTGGTTAGAAATAGTTTTTTATTTTCCAGGCTAAGTATATTAACAGTTCATTTAAACCCAATACTACATATAAACACTATCAAAACATGGAGGATATTGAAATTCACTGCTTAGAATAGAAAATCCACAGCCTAAATAAAAAAGAATCCATATATCTTCTTTTTAAACCCATACAAAGGTTTTATTACACATTACACTTGGCACATTACATTTAAATTGTAGTATGCATTAATACAACTTAGAAAGTTTTCTAAGCAGTTGCACATTAATGATTACTATGATCTAAATATAGTTTGTAGTACTGCACTGGAGTCTTGAACTGGCTCCGGTACAACCCCAGTGTCAGCCCTGGGACCAGGCTGGAGCTGGTTGGAGGCTCTGTGGATTGTGGATCCCAGCTCTGGGACCAGAATTGATCATATTATGTCTGTGGAGTAGTCCTAGGTTAATGCAGAATGTGTTATTCAATACGATTGGGAGATACTCCTCATACAAAAAGGCATAACTTTGCTACCATGCAAGAGCAGTTAGCATATGTAATCCTGCTTGAACATTTTGATGCTACAGTTTTAAGTGCAACTAACACATGCTAAATGTAATTTCTAACAAGTCCCCAATAAACATAACATCACCCCCAGAGTACTCATCTTCTGTAACCCTCTGGCTAACGCACACAACTCCAAATAGGCAACACGCCTATAAAGGAGAACATCAGAGAAAACTGAGCAACCATCTTATTCACTTAACCTACGCCAACACAGGAGAGAGCTAAAATGGCAGCACCCAAAACACCAACATCATTAATTTATCACAACATCTCTTATCCCCCTCTGAAATATCCATACTTTCCAAAGGCCTGAAATTCTTCCCAGAGAAACAACCTGGCAAGATACTAACATGGGTGGATCCTGGATTTATTAAAGGGGGTTGAGGCACCAACACTCAGACCATGGGAAGTATGGGGTTGAGGCATGGGAGAAGATCTGGCGGTTCCCTGGGGTAGTGATTCCTATAAAAATAATGCAATCCTAAAGCTGTAGCCACCAAAATGAACAGAGCCAGACTCAGACCCCACTCCAATCTGCTACAATTCCAACCCCAAGACAAGGACAGCAAGATCCCTCTGCTCATCACCAACACCCCTCAGCCAGATTTTGCCCATGGCACCATGTCATCTGGCTTGCGGGGCTCCCCACTGATCTGGAAAATTGGTGGCAGGATAGAGGTGGCACCACTCTCTTGCTATCAGATTTCCAGACCCACAGAGAGCCTGTGTGCTGGATTGGGCACCTGATCCCAGTGTGCATGGTTGGACAGGTATGGCATTGGGGCGTTGGGCCTAATCCCAGCATGAGAGGACAAGATAGGGTGATGCCAGGCCCCCAGGGCCCAACTCCAGCATGCAGGGCAGGGAGGGGAAAGTGCCCATCCCCTGGGGCCCAATCTCAGAATACAGGGTCAGAAGGGGTTGGCACTAGGCCTCCAGAGCCCAATCCTGGCAGGAGAGGGAAATGCTGGGTGTCACAACCCAAAGTTGTGGTTTTTCTTGTTTGTGTGTGCTTCGGCATCGCTAAATCATGTTCCCGCCAAATTGCAGCTCTTTTGCACGGTGGAGTGTTCTGTTGTAACGGAGAACCCGCGTGCAGGAGCTTTTCCCGCCAGTTCTGTAGCTTTCTTTGCATAGTGCATTTCTTTTGCATTATAGTGATGCACGATGCAAAGGAGTTCCTGCCATTTGTATTTAATTTAGTGGCCGTTTCTAAATGTAGGCATACGTGGCGGCTAGCTATTGGCTTGCTAGCCGTACAAAAGGCTTGGGTAGTTTCCACCCAAGTTGGAGAGAGAGAAAGCACGTGGAGTTCGGGAAAGGAGCGTGACGATCTCTAAGTGCTGCTGATCCCTTCAAACCCAGCTTTTTCCTTAAGAGGGCAACAGAGGTTTAATTTGTCAAACCTACGGAGCTTCAACAACTCCTCGGAACCTATTTACCGAACCCTCGGAGCCTTAACAACTCCGAGGCACATAACCTCTAGCCTCTCCCCGTCGCCGATCACTGTCCAGACGTATCCTTGTCCTAAGGACCTAATTGTCGAACTCACGGAGTCTTAACAGCTCCGGGGGACCTGGGAACCGAGTAACACTCACGGAGATACAGCTGCTCTGTGGGAACGAATTCTTGAACCCGCGGAGCCTGGATCACTCCAGGGTCAGGAACCGAGTTTATTAGAGTCCTCCACCGAGAACTCAAGCGGAGCTGAGCCTGGAAAGCTGACCAGCCTACACCGCAACCACCTTGGGTGTAAGTAAATAATCTTTTCAATCAACCATTACGCCTCCGTGACTGATTCTAGCTCGAGCGTACCAAACCGCGCCACAGTTTTTCTCCAGCCCCGTGTACCCGGGCTGCCGGCCACAGCCGGTGTGCACAAAGACGGGCCCGGCTCACCCCCGACTCGTACATGGCGACCCAGATGGGATCGAGAGAGAACTCGCACATGGCAATCCAGGTGGGATCGGGAGAGGGCCTGCACACTGGGTACCCAATCCTGGTGCACAAGGCTCCACCTGACCACCAGACTGACTCCTCACAACTCATTTGGCCCACGGGGCCAAAAGATTGAGTACCACTGCCTTAGACACGTCATTAATGGCCTCCAATCCCTCTAGAAAAATGATGACCATCTCAAGGCAGCCATAGGGAACAAACCTGTCCTGGCTTACAGGCATTTCCCCCAACCTCAGATGGTGTCTCTCCAATAACAGACTACTTAACTCCTAATCTCAACAAGGCATGAGACCTTGGTCTGGATCCAGATGTTAGCTGTGTCCCCCCATCAACACAGGCCACATCATCACTTGGCCAAATAACATGAATTATAGCATCACCTGCACCTGTACCAATGGCATATACGCCATCACCTGCTTATGGTGTCCCCTCTCCCCAGGGTCACTGACCTCAGAGTGGCTGTTCTTAGAATACAAAAACTTTAAAAATGAATTTGAACTGGGAATTATGGAACAAAAAAAATCACAACAGGGTGGATTGTATTAAGTATGATTTAAACCAAGACTATGGCTTCCTATCCCATTACCTGGATTAGCTTTTTAACCTCTATGCCCCTCAATGGATTAACTGCTTTGTTTTTCTCTTTCCTATCCACCTTGCCTCTCTCAGCAGTGCCCTCTCCTTTTTCCTCCCCGCTTCCCATCCCTTTGTATTTTAATTAGTGCTTTCTATTTAGAAGCTTTTCTTCCTGCAGTCCCTTTCCAGGATCTGAGGAAGTAAGCCTGCTGCTTAGTAAAGTTTATGCTATGCATCTCTGATTTAGTTAGTCTATAAAGTGCAAATCTCCCCTGTCTTCTGCTTGGCTACTGATTAACACAGCTAACTATCTGTCCCTAATATAGCTCAGCCTGGCCTGTATGAATGTGTTCTAACTGCCTTCCTTGAGCATGCTTCTTTGAATGCTTTATATAATGATTTAACCAAAGGCAAACATTGTAGGCTGGGTTGAACTTTGTAATAACATCTTTGAGTGACAATTGCGAATTCTGTGTCTTCTTGGCAATTGCTCCTAATACTACAGGAAGGGCAAAAAACATTTTCATGTACATAAGAGCTGAGATTACCATTGACCTTCTTTTGTTTGATGCTCCTGGTGGGATTAGGGAAGAATTTAGAGATGTTGAGAGTCTGCGACTCATCATAGCTTGAAAGCAAGACAATGAAAAGTTGAAAAAATACTGGCAGTGGGGTCTGGTGAGCAAAATTCTCCTAATTTTTAAAGAGCCATCAGAGTTTCCTTTGGCAATACGTCTCTTGTTGCTCTTTATTTGAATGTAATTAGCCTGATGTTTATTGATTTCTTAAACTAAATTTCTAATTATTTGGTTAGAGGTGAAGATAAAGTTCTTTTACAATGCCTCTCATTGAATGACTTGCTGTTTCTTGCTTCATTATTAAATCTCTGTGAGTAGATAGAGTGCATTGTTTCTTTGGAAATCCTTTACAAAAGGATTCATGGCCACATCTGTGACAATGGATAAACATAAGCAAGAGGTGAGGCTGTGGAGAAAGACAAAACAGAACAACAGATCCTCAAGGACATTACATAAAACTATTCCTTCATTGTACTCTTCATATGGAAATGTTATACTGGTGTATATTTTACATTCTTGAAATACTTCCATTAATGCTAATGGGTTTTAAGTGTACTTTCGGAAAGATGTACCATAGCTAATAGAGATGGCTTATTTTTAGAGCAAAACTGTTGAGCGTTATGTTATTTATCTCTTTCAACAATATTAAAGGACCCTCTCCCCCCACCCTCCACCTCACTGTGTCACCCCAGCTGTGTAGAGGGACCATCAATAGCCTCCCAAGGGCTGAGGGAGAATTACATGGTATAAGAATGTTGTATGCAGCCCTAGAGTGTTTTTCCCACCAGCCCATGGCACAGAGGTCATGCTAACACTGATCTTAGTTGTCTGTGGATTCTAGGATGCTTTGGACTATGCACTTCATCAATAGTTATTGCTAGTGCTGCTGTCTTTTCCAATGTACTTTGAATCCCAGTTGTTTCAGGACACTTAGGACTTGTCAGTGCCACTTCAGGTGCAAGCCCCAGGACAACAGAGCTGAGTACAGCCCACTCCCACAAGTGTACAAACTCAGCAGTTTACTAGTGAGCTTTTCTCCAGCACCCTCTTCATACACAGAGGGATGAGCCCAGAGCAATCTCACTGGCAAACTTCCTGCCTGGAACACGCCTGAGGACTTCGCTGGGTAGGACTTAGGGTTAAGTCCAAGTTGGTTTTCTTCTTATAAAAAGCTAAACAATAAAATCTACACATCTCTCTATGAATTCATGCCATCAGTAATGTCTTCCCAACTCGATTGTCTCCAAGCTTTGTCCTCAGTCCCATTTGTTGAGCCTCTATCCTTCAGTGATGCAGCGGAGTAGAGGTATAATGAGACAATTTAGAGATGATATGCTCGTCCATGTTCTTATGGCTTGCAAGAACTGTTACGGGGTGATAACTGGTAAGCAGTAAGTGGATAGGGCTGTTTGTAGGATAGGTAAAGTCACTTGTAAACTGAACAAATTTGATTTGGAGCCACTGAGAGAGAAACTGGAAGGCCCAGGGCTTTGTTCACAGGGACATTTTACAGAGTGGAACTGGGGTAAGCTCTGATGCTGCATGAGAAGAATTAGGGCACATGCACCACATGCATTTCTAAAACTTTAACTCAGCCACATCAAACATGGATTTTTACCAGAGCACTAATGAGCACAATTCAGTTCTTTGACATTTGTAATTATGTCTTGTTTATTTGTCCTTTAGTTTTCTATCCAAATGCTGGTATTTATATCAGAGACAACTTGAATTCATTTTGAGAAACATGATGCCTAAATCCAAGGATCTCAGAACCAGCAGTTGGGACAATGTCTGGACTCTTTTTCTTTCTTCTAATCTTCTAATTCTGTCAGGAACAAGCAATTGAATCCGTGGCGTAACTAGGTGAGGGCAAATGGAGCAACTGCCTTGGTTGCAACCTTGGGGGTGAGGGGCACAAAAAAAGCAACTGCTGCTGGCAGCTATACAATCATGCTTGTGACCATGTGGCAACCAGAAGTTGTTGATGCCTAGGGACCTCCTCAGTTTGCAATTTTGCCCAGTGAAGCTTCCCCATGCAGCTGGAAGCTGGCCAAGAGCTGTCCCGCTTCTGGGGCAACTCCCAGCCAGCTCTGGGCTGTGCACAGCCTGGAGCTGTCTGGGAGCTGCCCCAGAAGCGGGACAGCTCCCAGCCAGCTTGGGGATATCCTGGCGCAGATAGGAGCTGGCTGGGAGCTGCGCCAAAAGGGGCAGTTCTCAGCCGGCCCTGGGCTACTCAAGAAAATCTCTGCACAGCCCAGAGCTGGCTGGGAGCTGCCCCAGAAGTAGGACAGTTCCTGGCCAGCCCAGGCTACTTGGGGAAGTCCCCGTGCAGACGGCAGCTGGCTAGGAGCTGCCCCACAAGCAGGACAGCTCCAGGCCAGCCCCCAGCTGTGGGGGGAAGCAAAGAAATCATGAAGCAGAGAGCTCCTGAGTCCCAGCACTACTTTGCCCCCAGCTCCTATGGACAGGGCAGTGAGTAGCGCTAGGACTGGGTGGGACAGTACCCATGCAGGTGCTGCTCCCATCCAGGGAGCCAGGAGCTGAGTAGCACCAGAACCAGGAGAGTTCCCATCCCTTGTGGCTTCCTAGTGTTGGGGCTGACCAGGACCAAATTTGCTTCCAGTCAAAGTCTACATGTATGCTACAATGCAGTATCTATTGTGCAGTTAGTTTACTACTTGTATTTACAGGTAGTAGCTAACTGCGCAGTAAACTAATTTACTGTGGAATAGACTAATTTACTTCACAGTACATGGTGCACACATGTAGATGCTGATGCTTTACTTTGCAGTAGACTAGTCTACTGCACAATAAAGCGTCTCATGTAGACACACCCATAGAGTAACTAAATCAGAGATGCATAAGCGTTCATAAGCAGCGGTGCAACATCTACCTTGCCTTTTGCTTCACTTCAGACTAACATGGCTAACATACTCTCTACATTCATGTTAATCACTTACTAGTCCTCTCATCAATGTTAATAATAGTGAGATGAGTATCAAAGAAATGATACTAGAACTCTTCCCTCCTATAACTGGGACAACCTTAGCATTCACATTGTTGCATAGCTTTTGGGACAGTTAAACAATTAAAAAAACAAACCAAACTAAATGTAAACAGGAATGTGCACCTGCATATCACTTCTTGTTATCAGCAGTAGGATTTCTCTACGCTGATTAGTATGTGCTTATCATCCCAACATTCCTTTGTTGGATGTTGGCGAGGATAGGGACCTAAACAGAAATTTTTTTTATGCAAGAATAAATACTGTAAAACCCAGAAGAACTCTGAGTGACCTTCAGCTACTTTCCAAGAAATAATTTAAGTATTTTCCAAAAAGGCAACAGTAATGTAGGAAGTTGTCCAGATTGGCCTCTTCACAAAAAGGACATGCCAAAAGTCCGGTTCTACTTGTCAGTGTCAAGAGCATTAAAATCCATGTGTAAGCTGCTTTTTGGTAACTTAGAGATTAGTATTAGTCACTTTTTCTTACAGAGCAATAACAATGCAGAGGGCAGGCCAAATGCTTTCCAGATAAATGTACTATAGGCTTTCTGAGGAACCAGTACTTTTTTGCTCCTTTGAGCCATAAAATATTAACAGCTTACTTATTTACCGTAGATATATTCATTTTAATTGCAGTTCTCAGTGGCAATGAAGACAACATTGAAACTAACTCAAAACCAGAGCTCAAGAGAAGTAGCAGGTTTCAGCTGACAGTGCTGGCAGGTTTGCTTCTCAAGCTTTGGATATTCTCAAATACATTTCCAAGTACGTATTACTTCAAAGACCCATTGAATGAACACCAGGGTAAGTACAGATATTTGGGAGGTTAAATCGGGTGCAATATGACCCCCTGATTTAAACTTAGTGCTGACCTTGCACTTACAGACCTGATCTCAGTGAGTGACCGGCAATCAGTCTAAACCTATAACAGAACTTACAGGTACACAAACTGGTCCATGTACACAAACTGGTATAAAAATTACAGAACCCAGTTTATGATAAACCTAGATCTATGTAGTATCAGACTCATTTAATTTTGGTCAAATCAGTGCACGGAACTTCTGCCCACTTCCTCCGAACAGCCCCAGGACTGGGAAAACCCAAGCACTGGCCCCAGCCCTGGGGCTGCTCTTTTTGCTTTCCCCTTCCCTTGCACTGGTCATTTTTTGCACCCCCAGCCCCTTGTTCCCCCCCAGCCAGTGCTCTCAACCCCCATCCCACAAGCTTCTCTGGGTGCAGCTGCTTTTATCAGTATTTACTGTTTCTGGAGCTGAGCAAGGAAGTCCCAGTGGGGGAGGAGGGGGGGAGGGAGGACGGGACAGGAGGGATGGGGTGCAGGTTCACTGGGGGGGCACCCCACTCCACCCATGGGTCATGCCTTTCCTCCCTACCCTTGCACATCATGCCTGCCCCCCCACCTGCCTGTCGCATCTATTCCTGTACCCCTTGTGGGTCATGCCTGCTTCCCTTACCCCACCTGTGGGTTGTGCCTGCTCCCCCTACCCCTCATGGGTTGCCCCTGCCCCACCTCCCATCCCACCCATGGGTCCTGCCTGCTCCTCTACCCCACCCATGCGTGGCATCTGCCTCCCCACCCCGGTGGACTCCCAATCCCCTTCAGCCTGCTGCACCCTCAACCCCTCCAGCTAGCTCCCCCATCCCGATTTACCTGATATCAGGCATCCATTTTGAATTGATTTAATCTCACCCTAATGCCCACGAATGTCTGTACTTAGCCCATAGCTCTTCTCCCCATACCTTTCACAGACACAGGTAGTAAGGGCAGGATTTTGCCCCTTTTCCTTTGCCTTTATTTCTACTAGGAAAACTAGGAGAAAAAAAATGAGGATATCAGGAAATGTTTAGCACTTTACCTGCTTAAATCTTACTTGGTTTCTTTATTTGATTCTTCACTGGACATGTATGATACTCCAAATTTTGCCTGTTTTCTGATTCTCTTAGTGAACTGGTATGCAGCTCTACCTGAAGCATGTAGTGCTACTAGCATTCCTCAAGCAAATAACATGAGTGCTTCAATGTTTCCTGCTGCGTAATACAACTTTTCAAACACCGTAAGTGTCAAAGTACCATGAAAGGTAGCACAATCATTTTACTGAGGAACAAACTTTGCTGCCAAGAAAGAAAGTGGTTTTTTTCCTCCTCCTAAGTAGAAACAGAGGGGATGTTTGTGTGTGTCTTTAGAAGTACTACATCAAGCCTGTGGTTCTCTGGTGGTAACCCATCAGTGGGGCATGGAAGTTCTATTAGTGACTGATGCTCCTTTCCCCCCGACCTTCCCATTTTCCTGTGGCACCAGTATCATGTGAGATGCTGAGCTGCTCCATGCCTGGTATTCTCCTGAATGGGAGCAGTAATGGTTATATTAAACTACTTTCCTCTCTGGCTAGGCCACATTCAGTTCCAGAGGTCTGGGACATCCTGCAGTGGAACCATGGAACTAGAAAGTCTGAGAACCACTGCAGTAGAAAAATCTTAGTGGGGTTTTAGGGTGCATTAAAAAACTACATCTTTTTCAACCTTGCTTTTGAAAACCTCCTCTCAAATCTCCTCTCAAAATGTGCTTTTCATTTAGAGTAATTCAATTGAACTAGCTTGGCATGCATACAGCCAGTGGCATAGCAGCATAGCCCCACACCTGGGGCAGCTGCGATGCCTGGGGAATGCTGGCTGCAGCAGTGTGGATGGCAGCAGTGTAGTCAGCTGCCACTCTTGTAGTGGTGGCTATTTTGTTCCCCCCAAACAGAGGTAGTATGTGGGGCTGCTACTCTAGTAGCTCCCCTCTACTTCACAGTTATGCTACTACATGCAGGTGTCTCTGAATTTCAATATGAAAAATTACAAAATCATGCATCGAAGAAAATCAGAGTTCAGTTATACAAAGTGCCAAGTACTCTGACTTACAGATAAGAACATGCAGAGATAGGGCTTTATAAATGGCAAACATTGCTTGGGACAGTTCTACTGCAAATATACATAGTCTAAAGAGATGATATCCAAAATGTGAAAAGGTACGTCTATTAGTTGAAGTTTTGCTACTTTACCCATGAGTTCGTAGAGGCAACTGATACTACAAGTGGCAACCAAGGATACTTTTTCCTTGTCTTTTGAGTGGATTTTTTAGAGCACAATATTCATTTACTTAAACTCTGCATGTCCCTCAAGGAACTGGTTCTAAGGTTTTGTATATGGTTCATAAAATCATATGACATGATGACATGGCATAGAATCAGAAACAGTTGCATCCCATAATTCAGTTTTAATGTATCTGACTCAGAGAGTCAGGAATTAACAGACACGTTTATTTGAAATTCTTCTAAAAATTCAGGCTATAATTTTTGTTTCTGGAAGATTTAGGATTTTTCAGAAATGATTCAAGATAATTCCTTTCTGATATACAAGCTTGACTGGTTGAGTTATTTACTAGTTGAGGTCATAAAAATGTTGTTGGTGCTCTTAAAGTAGTGAAAGCTACTTTAAGTTACTTGATAAACATGAAGAAATAGTTTGTGTCTCTGGAACCAGGAAATTTATCTCAGAATTCAGTACTAAATCCTGATTCTATGACTTGTTTGAGATTCCTTATATGAACAATATATGCAAAATGTACCTTTGAAATTATATAATTTCTTGTAGACTGTAGGTATTCTTGTGGGTATTTAAGAAGTAAGATCTTTTAAACCATAGATATGGTCTCTTTCTCAGGAAATGGATACTTCATCATTTCTCCTTTCATTCCTCTTTTCTGTAAACTATATAATCCTAACATATTTAATCTTACCTCAAATTTTTGTGTTCCCAGTATGACATACCTAGAGTTTGATCAAAGTTAGTAGGAATTGTGGGCTTCCAGCTCCACTGCAAAATGAAGGAATCCAAAACTCAGAGCACACAGAGTTAGCAGGCTGTCTTGGAAACCTTGGTCCTGATTTTTCAACTGGTAGACTCATTTTTAGAAGCTGAGGCCATTTTAAATTGTCGGATTTTTTGGTTACCCTAGCTTCTATGATCTATATGAGATTTTTTTTTGATAGCATGCTGTGTATAAATTTAGTTTCTGTCAGTTAAAACATAACTTTACACATTTCCAGAAACTCTTAAGCTAAATGTAAAATAGGTCAATATAATAAAAAACCCAATGACTCTCACAAATAGATACAGATTTTGAAGATACCTATTTTCTGGAAATAGTGAGGTATAAACCCTCAACTCTTGTGCAAGCTAGAGTATGCTGCAACATTTTATCTTTTCCTATTAGGTTTCCAGTGTTAGTAAATATAGAACTATTTAGTTTGTAATTAGTACAGTATGTTGATAAGACATACTGTCAGCTACAATATAATTATGCCATTCCCATTTGCAGAAGTGGCATTTGAATATTATATGTTTGTCACCATCTTAACCCTAATAAGACCTCAAAAAAGAAAGCAAGCTAATAAAAATCTCAAAGTGACCATAGAAAGCAAGTCTAAAGCAAAAAGAACTTGATGAATAGTGCTTATTGCCATAACTTGTTTTGTTTGGCTCTCTGCCAGTGATGTTGTATTAACAAAAGAAAAATCCTCTGTAATGAAATAACTAAGCAGCATGCCAGAAATTTATATCAACAAATGCAACATTAGGAATAATAATCAAATCTAATCTGCATGGCAATGGGAATGAGAAGAGAAGAAATCTATCCTTAAAGATATTACTTCAGGATACCATACAACACACATCTTTTGAGAGGAAAATCAGAATCTAGAGTTAGCAAGTTATGAAGCTTTCAGACAGCACAGAGAATCTCAAACCTAGAACCCATCTCTTCGACTAAACCTCTATCCAGCGCTTTCTCTGGTTCAAAAGTATTACTGAAAAATATCTTCATGGTGTTCTTTATGTTCTGGTTGCATCAGAAATGTCAAAATATCAGAAGCACCCTGTTAGCTGGCTGCTAGTGTATATGACTAGACTAAAACAGCTAGACAGCAGTATGCCATTAAAAAGAAAATATAAATGTGCTCACAGATCAGTTGGTGTTTAAGGGTATCTATACACATCCGCTGAGGTGGCGAGGGGACACTTTAATTAGAGCAGCTCTGAGAGCTGCTCTAATTAAAGCACCCACAGCATCATGTGTATTCAGTGTCCTGCACTTCAGAATGGCAGTGGGGGATGCTTTAACTAAAGCTTCATAGATTTCATAGACTTTCATAGACATTAGGGCTGGAAGGGACCTCAGAAGATCATCGAGTCCAGCCCCCTGACCAAAGGGCAGGAAGTCAGCTGGGGTCATAGGATCCCAGCAAGATAAGCATCCAGTTTGCTCTTGAAGGTGTTCAATGTAGGCGCTTGAACCACCTCCGGTGGCAGGCTGTTCCAGACCTTGGGGGCTCGGACAGTAAAGAAATTCTTCCTTATGTCCAGCCTGAAATGGTCTTGTAGTAGTTTATGACCATTCGACCTAGTCGTCATCCCTTGGGGCGCTCTGGTGAACAAACGTTCCCCCAGATACTGGTGGTCACCCCTGATAAACTTATAGGTGGCCATCAATCACCCCTGAGCCTGCGCTTTTCCAGGCTAAAGAGCCCCAGGGCTCTCAGCCTGTCATCGTAGGGTCTGCTTCCCTGACCTCTGATCATGCGCATGGCTCTTCTCTGGACTCTCTCAAGCTTCTCCACATCCTTTTTGAATTGTGGAGCCCAAAACTGGACACAGTACTCCAGCTCCGGCCTCACTAAGGCCGAGTACAGGGGGAGAATGACGTCCCGGGATTTGCTTGAAAAGCATCTATGGATGCAAGCCAGCGTTTTGGTCACCTTACTAGCCGAAGCATCCCACTGCAGGCTCATGTTCATCTTGTGGTCAATGATGACCCCCAAGTCTCTTTCTTCTATAGTGCTAGCCAACATAGCACTGCTGAGCCTATAAGGATGCTGCAGGTTTTTCTTCCCAAGGTGGAGAACCTTGCATTTATCAGCGTTGAACACCAATGTGCACCTTACCATTTGGTCTTGAGTGGGCACAGTCCAGGACACTGTCGGGGAGGGGGAGTTTCAAAAGGGAGCTGGGACTGCCTCTTATCCCATTCTTTCCTTCTGTTTTCAATAATAGCAGCTTCTTCTACCATAGTTTGACTTGGGTGATCTTAGTAGTTTCAGTTGGGCAGTCGCATGAACTTCCTGATAGAATCATAGAAGTCGGGTCGGAAGGGACCTTGTAGATCTTCAAGTCCGACCCCCTGCCTGGGCAGGAATAAAACTGGGCTCAAATGACCCCAGCCAGGTAGGCATCAAGTCACTTCTTAAAGACCCCCAGGGTAGGAGCCAGC